ACACACACACACACACACACACACACACACACACACACACACACACACACACACACACACACACACACACACACACACACACACTACACACACACACACACACACACACACACACACACACACACACACACACACACACACACATATATATGTGCATATGTATGTATATATATATATATATATATTAATAATAATAATTATGTATAATATAATATAATAATGTAATAATATAGTTAGGTTCATATAGCATAGTGTAGATTCATACCGATGCTGTAGTAAGCACGGGAGAGCTGCGCGGTGACGCATCATCCATGTGATTCACTCAACAAGAAACTGTTGTTGCTAACGTAATCGACATTCCGTGTCCCGATTTACTCGCGCTGGCGCCGTAAACCCACGAACGTTTCCGACCGCGCGTCTGCTAGTGACTATAGTTCGTATTCGATGTCTCGTGTTTAACGCTGCGTGCGTGCGTGCGTGCGTGCGTGCGTGCTTGTGTGCGTGGGCTGCGCTGCTGAGCGAGCGTACAGCCTGAAACAGATCACGGATGACTGAGAGTGCTTCGCTGGTTACGAGCGTGGAATAATTGTTTCCACGGCTTCGCCGCGCAGCAGCGGCAGCAGCAGCAGCGGCGGCAGCGGCGGCAGCGGCGGCAGCGGCGGCAGCAGCAACGGCGGTGGCGGGGATGCGATCGATTTTTAAATTTAGCTATAGCTGGCCGATGTGAAATGTTAGACTGTTGGTCTGACAGGCAGGTGCGTGTGTACGGTTGAAAATGTTCGACTCCTTTATTGATTCAGTCGCGACCTCTGCTTTAGAAAGCTTATATAGTTTAACATCTGCCGTATTATAACATATGGAACATATGTGACGTTTAGGTGAAAATGCATGCATGTATTTAAGTATACATAGTAAGTAGCATTAGTATAGTATAGTAGTATAAAGTATTATTATTGTTTTTACATCTGTTATACGTCTATTGAGCCAGATCTGTTGCTAACGGGTATAACGCTAAATTTTTTCGTCGATATTTTGTCATTTTTGCTATAGACGTAATACGTATTCGGTGGCACACTAACCTGATCACCTAATTTATTGTGTGAGTTTATTATTTATTTACAGTTACGGTCATTTATTGCGTCTGTTCGGAGTAGATATCTGAGATGTGTTCATAAAAAACTTTACTGCCCCTCCAGCAAATTATCGGAATCACGTTTCGCCAGTTAATAAGATTGCTAAGTCATTTTGGTATTTCCGCAAGGTTTATTGCGATTCGGTGCAGGGGGCTGTCATGGTGCGTGCATTAGTTGCCTTATTGCGACGGTTCGTTTTTAATTTCGCGCCTAGTAGAGCCTTGTTGTCAATCTCGGAGCGCGTTTAAAATTCAAACGAATCCTCCTGCTTCGTATTCTTCGTCTCGAGCTACGCCGTCTACTCTCGAACGCCGTGTTTTTGGCGCTATATATATATATATATATATAT